TTGGGTCATGATGTCGGGATCCTGGGATCAAGCCCTGCATCACATCGGGCTCCTGCTCAGTGGGGAGCCTGCTTCCCCCTCATTCTCTCTGCCTGCCTCTCTGCCTGCTTGTGATCTCTGTCTGTCAAATAAATAAAATCTTTAAAAAAATGTAAATTAAAGCTGTGAGATACTATTCTTGCCTTTCAGATTGCAGGCATCAAATTTTGATAATACTCTGTATTAGTGAGGATGTAGGAAAATGGTCACTTTCCTACATTGATAGAAATGTAAATTGGTACAACCTCTTGGTAAGAAATTTAACAGTATCAACCAAAATTGAAGACTTACATACTTTGTTCAATTTATCTATTATGGTGTAACAAACTACTCCAAAACATAATGACTTCATTCATAATTTTGCTTGTCTGGTTTTGGGGGTCAGAAATTGAGGAAAGTCTAGGTTGGGTGGTTCTATTCTGATCTGTCAGGTGTCAGCTGGGGTGGCTGGGAGGATCCACTTCCAATTCATCTTTTAGGAATTTATCCTAGAAACAAATGTAAGCAAAGATATATGAACAAGGGTATTCATTATAAAATTACAAATAGTAAAATGCAAGATTAACCTAAATGTCTACCAATAACCCAATTTATTTATGCCCATGTAACAAATAACCGCATCTATTAAAAAGAATGATAATACAGCTCTATGTACAGAAAGAGCTCCAAGATATAACTTCAAATTAAAAAATCAAATTGCAGGGGCGCCTGGGTGGCTCAGTGGGTTAAAGCCTCTGCCTTCGGCTCAGGTCATGATCTCAAGGTCCTGGGATCGAGCCCCACATCGGGCTCTCTGCTCAGCGGGGAGCCTGCTTCCCCCTCTCCCTCTGTGTGCCTCTGCCTACTCTCTGTCAAATAAATAAATAAAATATTAAAAAAAAATCAAATTGCAGGTGTATCAGTAGGTTAAGCATCAGACTCTTGATTTCAGATCAGGTCCTGATCTTAGGGTTGTGAGATTGAGTAACCTATTGGCTCCACTCTAGGTGTGGAGTCTGATTAAGATTCTTTCTCTCCTTCTCCCCCTCTACCACCACAACCCTTCTCTCTTTCTTTAAAAAAAAATCAAGTTGCACAACACCTTAGAAATGTACCTCTCGAAAGAAAAGTTTTTATAAGCCCTTTACAATAAACCATGGAAACCATATGTGAAACTTAGTCCAGGTGCATGTTAGCCTGTTGAGGACACAGAAAGAAGAAATTTCTGATTGAGGTTATTGCTGCTACTTATTTCTCACCTTCCCCATTTACTTTCTAGTCCTGCTCAGTCTGTAATTCTGCTCTCCTGTATGGGCCCAAAGGCTGCATGGACATCCACTTCTTGCAATTCTTTTCACTGGTTATGTGAAAATGGCTTTTGAAACTAACCATCATGGGGTTGTATTTTGTCTCTACTTCTTATGAGCTACTTGACCTTGACAAGATATTTAATCTCCCCAAGCCTCAGTTTTCTCACCTGTAAAATGGGGGTATAATGATACCTACTTCTCAGGAATAACAGGATTAAAAATTTAAGTAGCAGATTTACCACAGTGCCTGGCAGCAAAGACATGGTCTTTAGTATTTATACTATTGTCACATAACACCCAAATCCAACAGTCAGGGGCTGGTGGATCAAAGCAAGAAACCACGGATAATTATGAGGTGGGCAGTGACTTAGGTATATTTCAACAGTTCAGATTACAAGTGCTAAGCCACGTGGAGTGAGGCTCACCACCTTCCCACCCATCAGTTCCTTGAGATCAGGCCTGGCCCTGCACAGTGAGGTCTGTGGCTGCAACCCTGGCTCAGACCAGTCACAGAGGAGGCTCTTTAAAAAAGACTTCTCCCAAGCCTGGGAAAATACTGAGATCCTGAGGGACACAGGCATCTGTTTTTTTATGTTGTAGAAAAACGTGATCAGTATGTGCATGTCTCCACCTTCTTCAGGGCCCCTGCTCTCCACCCACCACCACTAAAGGTGAACTTGAACTTGGCAGTTTCTTCTCCTCCCCTCTGCCCCAAGATTCTTGGAGGTTTTTGTTTTTGTTTTTAAGATGTTATTTATTTGTTTGTTTATGAGAGAGAGAGAGTGCACATGCACACTGGAGCAGGGGCAGAGGGGGAAGGGGAGGGACAAGCAGACCTCCTGCGGAGCTTGGCGCTCTGTCCCACCACCCTGAGATCAAGCCCTGAACTGAAACCAAGAGTTGTCCACTTAGCTTAACTGACTGAGCCACCCAGGTGCCCCTTCTTTTTGCTTTTATAATAAAGAGCTAGGAGGTTTTGTTTGTTTGTTTAACATAACACCATTCGTATTAAGCATGCACAGCAAGAAAGCAACAACACACACCTTAGAATAAATGTAAGACAATACATGCTGAATACATCAGAAGTGTTGCCTGTTGCAGGGAAAGGAATGGTGTAAAGAGGCATTTCTGTATCTCAGCACTATTGACATTTGGAACTGTGTAATTTTTTTTTTAAGATTTTATTTATTTATTTGACAGAGAGATCACAAGTAGACAGAGAGGCAGGCAGAGAGAGAGGAGGAAGCAGGCTCCCTGCTGAGCAGAGAGCCTGACACAGGACTCGATCCCAGGACCCTGAGATCATGACCCGAGCCGAAGGCAGCGGCTTAATCCACTGAGCCACCCAGGCGCCCATGGAACTGTGTAATTCTTTTTGTGGGGAACTGTCCTGTGCATTGTAGGATGTTTAAGCAGTGTCCCTGGTCTCTTCCCTAGCTCTCTTCCCTAGATGAGAGCTAGGAAATCTTAATGCTCTCCAGTCAAAGACCACCAGGAACACACCTATAGTTGGACAAAGTGGGTGTATTGATTGCTGCAGTGAGGGAGGAACACAGAGCACGAGGAACCACTGGGCATGTCAGCAAGAGGTCATTTGAAAGGACTTACAGAAGTTGGTCTTGTGTTAGTGACTTTGGAGAGCATTAAACAAGATTTTGCTCAGTGTTTGATGCCATTGGGAAGGGGGAGTAATTCCATTATAAGGCATATCAATAAACTTATCCGGAAAGAGGAATAATGAGAATAAAGCTAAAGGCACAGTTGGGAAAGAAACGGGAGTCATTCATATCAGCCAGGACAGAAAGATGTTTAGTCATTTTTATGATGTGGACAATGTTCATGGATTGTCTGTGCCCAGACAGGATTACAGAATGGTTACAGATGGCCTTGTCTAATGTTGATGTCTTGTGAAATCGATTATGTACTACAGAAGAAGACCAAGGCCTTGGCTGTGAATGTCACCTCAGCTCCTAGCAACATGTCAACTTCCAGATGTCAGGGGACTGCTTTTCTCTTTAGAAGACAGGAGGCAAGAAGAGAAGTGGGAGGACAGGATTTCAGATTTCTGGGAGTTAGGGAGAGTTTCTATAGAGTGTGTAAGAGAAGTAAGGGAGCAGGAAGGTTGAATGGGTTTGTAAGAATTGCTGTGGAAACTGTCCACATTGTGGTTTTCAAGATAGTTTTTTCAATATAAAATGGAAAATATAAAAACATGGGCAATTTTGGATTGGATTTTGGTTGCTGAGTTGTGTTCCCTCTATTGTGATATTACTCTGAGCCCAACCAGTTCAGAAACTTCAAAGAGGCAGGTTTTCAAAGCCAAGAGGTTCTACACTCCTGTCTTAGAGGCCAGGGCTCCAGCTCCACCTGAAGCTGATGCCTGGGTGGGCATGTTGTGTAAAGAAGAAGCAGAGACAGGAGGGCACCAATCAAAGATCAAAGGCCAGGTTCAGGTGCCTGCTGTCTCCATCTCCTAGAAGACCCAAGCAGACAGAGTTCCCCAGACTCCCAGTGCCCCCAGATAGTGGTAGCCTTGATCCCTGGTCTGGGTTCTGGGTCCCTGTTATTGCCACCAACAAAATTTGTCACCCAGTATGCCAGGATGGGGGGACCTAGTCCCCACCCTCTGGCATGCTGATTCTGTGGGAGATCAAGGGTGCCCACACCAGTCGCAGAGGAACTGGAGAACTGAAAGTGCTCAGCAGAGGGCCCCATAAACCCTTCTGGGGATGGAGCATTTCTTGGTGGAGCTAGTACTCGATGATAGAGGTTTGGAAAATGGGGGCCGGGAAGGCTGAGGACGTGGCCGGGAGGAAAGCACAGTGCCACATGAATTTAGAGCATTATCTGAAGTCTGAAGGAGAACCCCGCAGGCAAAGCCCTCGAGAGCTAGACTCCCAGGCTGGAATGAACCCTATCCAAGCCACAGGGGATGTGCATACGAGCGGCACCTAACGGACCCGCCAAAGGCAGCAGGAGTGGATACACAATGCGCCCGCTGTGGTTCAGGGGGCTGGCCAGAAGGGCCTAGACGATGCGGGATAGTGGGAGAAATGGAGAAAAGGGGGGGGGGCAAAAATGGGAGATAAGAGCCCCCGGTAGGAGTCAAAGAGCTGGGAGAGTTTTGGGAATGGAGGATCTGGAGGGAGAGTCGGTGACTTCCATCTAAACTGTACTCAGAGGGACGGGACCAGAGGCACGAGCCGTAGGCGCCTCTGTTCACTTGGCCAAACTTGAAAGGAATTGTGGCCGTCTGGAGCCCTTGGGGCCCGGCCAGGGCTTCCCCACCGAGGGGTCCCCTGGGGCCCCGAGCCCGCGCTCCGCGGGTGCTGAAGACACGCCGGGTCACAGGCGGCGCTGGAGGCGGGCGGGAGAGTGCCGCGGTCGCCCTTTCTCCTCCTCCTCTCCCGCTTCTCCCGCCGGGAGAGGGAGGCCAGTGTCCCGCGGGAGAACGAGTGTCCACCCCCTGGGTCCGGGGCTAAGGCCGAAGAGCAGCCACCACGGGGCTGGGGGTGGGGCGTGGGCGATCCCCCGGGCAGCGCCACCACTCCGCTCTCCCGCCCCCTGGCCGGACGTGGCACCTCCCCTGCGGTGGCCGGGGCCGGGAGGTGGGGTCGGGAGCCCCAGCTCCGGGCTCTGATGTCACCGCGCGGCGGTCGGCGCCCAGGAATTCGTCTGGGCCAGGAGTTCAGGTATGCTGCAGGGCCAGGTGGTGGGGCAGGCGGGGGCGGGGGCAGGGCGACCCGGAGGGGGGCACCGCGAGCACCGCGGCCAGGAGAGGTGGGGGGGTGGGGCACCGGGGAGGAGCAGGCGCGTCATTCCTCTGGGTGTTCCGCCCAAGCCTCCGCGGGTCGAGTCGGGCCCTTGCGTGCGGGAACTCTTCGCGGGGCGGCGGGGCAACCAAACCCACCGAGTGGCGGGAGTTATCGGGAGAGGCGCCGTGTGGCCGGCGCACGCAGTGGGATCTCTCTCCGCGACCCAACCCCCCCACTCCCCCGCCCCGCTCCTACCCTGGGCCCGCCGAATCGCGGGAGAATCCATGCGGGGCCCGCCCCCACCCAAGCTCGCGCTTTCCCTGCACGGGTCTGAACCCTCCTTCTCTGACCGTGAACCCAACAGGAAGGGGCCCGAAACGCACCGGCCAGCGGCCATGGGCCCCCCTGGCATCCCCAGAGTCCCGCTGTCGGGCCACACCGCATGACTCTGCCGCCCCCTGCGGTCGCCAGGCTAGTGCCTCTCTCCCGCCTCGACTTTCAAGAGCCTGAAGCCCCAGGTATGTGGTCCGCCCACGACCGCGGCCTCCTGTCCCCGGGTGCAGCTAACACCCCGCCTTTTCTGCTCTCCCGGCTCGGCATGGAGCTCCAGTCTCTGGGGACTACATCTGGGCTAGAGCGAGAGTGGAGGCTGCGCGGGCTGCACTGTCCCTGTGGAGGGACCTGGACAAAGGGCCCTGCAGGGGACTGGGAGGGCCATGCAACTTCCCGGCATTCCTGCCCAGCCAGACTCGTCTGGGGTGCTGGCATTGAAGACAGAGCCCAGGACCCCGAAGCTCTGTGTGGCAGGGACAGGCAGCACCCCCACAGTGAGTGCTACTGAGGGAAGTTCATCCGGGAGTGGTGGCCTGAACGCGTTCTTCAGAGGTCGGATGTGAGGTGGCCTTGGGGGAGAGTATGCTTTAATTCCTAGTCACTGTGGATCATTTGAGGTTGTCTGCCTTTCTGGTCACCTCACCTGGATCTGCTCCCGGTGTCTAGGTGTGGTTTTACCAGCCGGAAGCTGTCTTTATCGATTTCCCCAACATCCCCTAAAAATCTGAGTCAGCCTGCTTGCCTAGTCCAAACTTTCTGCTGAGGTCTAGACCCACATCCCACCTTCACAGACTTGCCACAGACACTGCAGAGCCTATAGGCCCCAGACTAAATGAGCACTGGATCCTGGGCCAGTCCCCATAGCAGCTTCCTCCTTCCTGAGACTGACACCTCTACCTCCCTGGCCTCCAGCTCTGAACACTGAAGTCATCTTTGTCTCCTTTTCCTTTCTTGTTGCTCTTTCATTCAGGGGACAAGTATATGTGACCCCCCCCTCACCCTAATCTGGAGCTTTTCCAGCAGGGATTTCAAGCTGCCCCCTGTGCTCTGGTGAGCCTTGGCCAAAGGCCTGAAGAGCTCCCTGGGCTCCAGCCTCTGGACTCCAGTTCTTTGTAGGCCCTGGCTCTGCAGCCCAGCCCACGGCTGACACCAGTGCTGAGGCTATGGCTCCGGGAGTGTCACCACCCCCAGCCACAGTGGCTGGCTGGACTTCAAGAGGCTTCTGCAGCCAGACAAGTATGCAGTCTCCTTGCTCTTTGTGTCGAGGCCCCAAAACACCCTGGAGGAGCTAGCTGCCCCCTCTGGGTGTAGCAGGTTCTGCAAAAGGCACAGAGTGAGCATCTGCGTGGTTATCGGCCTACTGGGGCCACTACTGCAAAAGTATCCTCAAGACAAGTTAGGGGCAAACAGCAAACATGCATACACACAGTTTTATTATCTGTTGTTTTTAGGTGCTGAGCTCAGAAGCCTTGGTGAACACAGTAACTCACAAGATAAAATTTTTGAGGAAACTTCTTTGTACGTGGATAGTTGCTGGTGTCTGTAGATTCAGGAAGCCAGCAATGGGCAGGCATGGGTGGAGTGTGCCAGGGAAAACAAGCCTCCCAAGCTGGGCTCAGACTAGGAAGAGAGAGGGCTAGTGCCTGGGTGCATAGGGCGGCTTTCCTAAAGGAGGTGACTGTCCTCCCAGGAGTTGCTACTCAGAGTGACTGCTCATCTTCCTCAAGTCCAGAGAGTGGAAACACTCTGCGGAAGAGGTCCCCAAACCTGAGTGTGAAGACCAACATGCAGGGCTGGTGTTAGTGGGCATAAAGATACCTCCAAGTAGGCACTGGCAAGATGTTCTGGTTCCAGATCACCTGCGAGCCCCTCCTGAGGATACGGTAGATAGTGCCTTTCCTTTTTAGGAAACATCCTATCCTCACACCACTAACCTCCCTTCCCTCTCCTGACCTGCAATCTGTAGCATCTCTGGCCTTGGGGAAGCGGGTGGAGGGTGACCCTGGTTTCCAAATAGTATTCAGGAGGCTCAAATGAACCTGCTTTTCGGTTCCCACCCCAGCTGCTGGTCACCCTCCTCTGCACCCCTCCTGGAAAGCAAGCCCTCCTACCTCCCCAAAGTCCCCATACCCCATTAGGAACCCCAGCTTCCTAAGACTCACAGCTGCTCTCACCCTTGACCCATGCACACCCTACCCAACTCCTCCTGTCACTCACCTTGCTCCGCTCTTGGCTCTGGGGAGGTACTGATTTCTGGCCTGTCCTGCTCCACCTGTGCTTGCCTACTCTTTTGTTTCCTAATAATGCATGAGTAACCTGGACAGAGTCTGCGGTGTCAGCTGCCTCATTCATTCTGTCCCCCTCACCAAAAAAGACCAATAGGGAAAAAAGAGTGGGCAGAAGCCAAAGAGCCCTCTTCCTTCTCCAAGAAAGCCACCCCCTATACACTTGTTGCAAGTTTTGCTCTTTTCCTTGCCATTCTACAAATATTTCTTTAACATTGACTTCGTGCCAGGTACTGAGGGTACAGAGATTACTTAGTACTGGGCCTGTTCTCAGGAAGTTCATGGGTGGGAATGGGAAGAGGGAATCACAAGCAAGCCAACAGTTGCGCTGTATGCAGGGTGATGAGTACTGTGTGGGGTGTGAGTTTGGGGGCGGGGAGCTCAGGACACAGTGTAGGGGGTCCCAAAAGGTCAGAAGACCTCTAATCTGGGCCCAGTAGGAGGAGCAAGAATAGCAGAACAAAGCTGGGGGTTTGAGGCTGCAAAGCAGAGACCATATTACTGTGGTATCTGCTAGTATTTTGCAAGCAGGTGGGAGTGACTTTCCCAGAGCTGAGTTGAGGCTTTATTGGAGGCTTCTGGCAGTTGGGAGGGGGGGCGGGCAGGGGGATGGTGGTGAAGGTAAACTGGTTTTCAGCAGGGTTGGCTTCTAGGAAATTGATTCTGGCTGCAGTAAGCTTGGAGGCAGGCCCAGATGCCAGACAGGGTTCTGCTTCTTAGCAGCTATGTGCCCCTGGGCAAGTCATTTCCCCTCTGAAAACCCCAGAGTCCTCATCTGTAAAATGCAGATAGCAGTTGTAGAGGATCAAGATATTTATATCAAGCACCTGGACACGGTGGTGGGGGGGAAGGCTGTGAGGCTGCCTCTGACCTAGGTCTTGCCCCCTCCTTTCTTGGCTCCCCTGTGGTCTCAGAACGTTCTTGGCCGTTGTTTATTAGGGAAAGATCACATGGAGCAGCTAACAAAGCCGCCAGGAAGCCGCCAGGGTGGGACTGGGTTGGGGAGGGCAGGAGTATCGTACATTCTTGGTGCTTCTGGAAGTGCTAGGGAGAGGCGGGGGCTGCCAGCCTAGAGAACCTCAGGGGGGAGTGGGCTAGTCATCAACTCCTTCCCCGGAGGTAAGGGGAGTAGCTAACGCCCTCGAACTCCAGAGATGCTCCCAGGGACTGGCCCTACCCATGTCATCCCCGGCCTGGGAGGTGGCAGCGTTAAAGGCCGTGTGACCCGGGAAGGGATGTTCAGTAAGCACCTGGCTGCCCGAGTTGGAGGGGCCAGCCTGACCCGGGGCTCCTTCACCACCACACCGTCTGTGTCCTTCCAGGCCCCGTGGAGTTGGCCTCAGCACTCACCTGCGCAGTCATGGAGGCCCCGGGGCCGGGGGGCGACCGCGCCTCCCCAGCCTCGTCCAACCGCAGCCTGGACCTGCGGCGGCTGTCCGCGCACGCCGACTCAGCCTACAGCTCTTTCTCCGCAGCCTCCGGGGCTCCTGAGCCGCGCACGCCGTCGCCTGGGACCGATCTCCTCCCTTACCTGGACTGGGACTACGTGCGTGTGGTGTGGGGCGGCTCGGCCCCCGCCAGCAGCCTTCGCGCCTCCCCGCAGCCCCGGCCCGCGGCCACCGCGCATAGTGGGCTGCGGCCCCCGGAGGCCCGGGGGACGCCGGGGCCGCTCAGCCGGCAGGCCACTCCGCTGCTGTTTGCGCTGGCGGCCGAGGCGGAGGCGGAGGCGCGGGCCATGGAGCCGCCCAGCCCACCCGCTTCACGGGACGCCTACCGCCAGCGGTTGCAAGGTGCCCAGCGGCGCGTGCTCCGGGAGACGTCCTTCCAGCGCAAGGAGCTCCGCATGAGCCTGCCCGCCCGCCTGCGTCCCCCGGCCCCCGTGCGGCCCCCCGCGGCGCACCCGCGCTCGGCCTCGCTCAGCCACCCCGGCGGCAGGGAAGCGGAACCAATGCGCTCCGGGGCTCCCTCGAGGGGAACCGTTGGCCGGGGCCGCCTAGCCACCCAGCAGCAGAAGTGGTGTTTCTCCGAGCTGGGGAAGCTAGACTGCGTGGGTCGGGGCAGTGGATCCGCAGGGGAATGCTCGAGGGAGGCTGGCTCCAGTTCTGGGGTCGTCAGGCTCGACCCCCAGGAGCATAAGGTGCCCGCAGAATTCGAAGGTCACCGGAACAGATGGCTGCCTGAGACCCAGCCCCAAGGCGTGGAGGACACAGAACCTCGGTACCGGAAGCTCTGTGACACCTATAGGCCTTCCAGTCGGAGTCAGAGCGCTTCAGGGGAAGTCTTGGCTCTTTGGGGAGGCCCAGGAGGGGTCATGCCCATTGTCCAGGTGTGGAAGATAGGGGCTGCAGGCTTGGGGTGGAGGACAGCTGGGAGACTGAAAACTTGAGCTACATTTCAAGCAACTGTTTGCCTTTCCAGACTGTTCTCCAAGGAGCAGAAACCCCCAGACCACTGCTTCAGACCAAACTTGCCAGGTGAGAGACATGGACCACTGGGGCACTGCAAGTTGGAGAAAAGCAGTTTTCATAGCTCTTGCCCAAGAAAGAGAGGGCCCCTCACCCACCCTCAGTTTGAGCCTTCTGATTCTGTCTTTTGCAAACTACATCCCGGAGGGTCCCCCTGCACACCCACCCCACTCCACTGTGTCTCTGGTGCAGCACCCAGAGCTTCTTTCCTGGTCACTGTGGTTAGTGTGGGGTCCCTTCCTCCAGGTTCCTGACCCAGAAGGAAGCTGCAGTGGTGTGTCCTGCAGAGTATCCCCAGAGCAGTCCCGCTGACTGGGAACAGAGGGTCTCAGAGACATGTATGGGGTCTGCCCAGCTCCCATCCCTTCCAGATGATGAGGTTTTCCTGGAGGAAGTCCCCCTGGTCAGAAGGAGATCACCTCCAGACACCCATGCCCCCCCGGGAAACCCAACCAGGTGAGTTGGCTCTTACTGCCAGAGTGAGACATCCCCTTCCCACACATATCAACAAAATGCTAGAGAGATGGGGAGCCATCTCCTAGCTGGAGCCTAGGAGCCTGGCTGGTGGGGATGGGGACAGGTGGCCCTTGGAGGCCACTGCTTGTCTCTGGACAGAGCTTTTTCTGATTCAGTGTCTCTTCCACTTCTAGTGTCCATGTCTCTGAGCAGCAGTATGGAACTGGCTCAGGCCAGAGTTCTGATCAGGCTACAGTCCCCCCGGAGCACCCCCTCCATGAGCACCCAGGGACTGCAGGGGCAGATGACTGCTGGCAGAGGATAAATGGTTCTATGGGGGTCTCTAAGACCATAAACTATAGCCCCCCCAGGATTGCAAATGGTGACATTGCAACCTTTGACCCCAATGGACTGCTGACCATTGACTCACTTGGAGCTGCAGAGAGTGACCCTCTCAAACCTCTCCCAGTTGATGCCCCAGGACCTCCAAGCAACAATACCCCAGGTGCTCCTGGCCATAATGCCCTGGCTTGGGGCACTGGCCAGCCTGGTTTCAGGCCAACATGGCCCAGTCCTCGCCTTGAGGAGCTTGTTCAGGAGCTGGCCAGACTGGATCCGTCTATGAGTGACACTCTCACTTCCTGTCGCATCCCAGAGCCACCCCTGGACCTGCTAGATGGGCTGATTCCTTTAGCAGAGGTCTGGGCTGCAATGAGGCCACTATGTGAGGAAGCTGGAAAGGAGGCTGGTTGTAGTCCTGAGCCAGGGTGAGTGAAGGGCACCAGGGACACAGGGGATTCTAAGTCCCCGCAATGTGGGGCAGGACAACCCAGGGAGCTCTGGCTTTGTCCCCAGGTTCTATCAATTTAGCTCCAGCCAGCTCCTGCCAACTTCTCTGGAGGAGACGAGGTTTCAAAACCATACCACCCACCCTGTGCCTGACCAGGCCTGTGGCCAGGGTCTCCCTGATCCAAATAACAGCATCCAAGCCAAGAAAGTGAGTGCGGAGGTTCTGGTGGAGATGGGGTGTGGCAAGAGCCCAAAATATGGGCTGAGGCTTGGGTGTCTGGCCTCACCCTTAAGTACCTGCGCCTTTCCTGCAGATGGAGCTAGCCGACCTCCTCCAAAAGATGCTGCGGAACCTTGAGGCTGAGCAGGAGCAGCTGCACGGGGCCGCCCAGGCTTGGGCCAGGCGCAGGGCTGCTCTGGAGGCCATGGTGGGCCAGTCCTGTTCTCCCCGAGACCTAGAGCGGTTCAGCAGGTTCATGGCCGACCTAGAGCGCGTACTTGGCCTGTTGCTGCTGCTGGGTAGTCGCTTGGCTCGCGTGCGGCGCGCCCTGGCCCGGGCGGGGGTAGACAGCGACCCAGACGAGCAGGTGACAGAGGTTGGGGCTGGGGAGAGCGGGGCAGCGAGGGGTCTGCCGGCTTGGGCTGGGACGGTCCCGGCAACGGAGGCCCCCTCTCCCCGCTCATGGCACTCTCTCCCTGCGGCTGCAGGCCTCTCTGCTGCAGCGACTCGGGCTCCTGCAGCGGCAGCAGGAAGACGCCAAGGAGCTGAAGGAGCATGTGGCGCGGCGCGAGCGGGCCCTGCGCGAGGTGCTGGTGCGGGCCCTGCCCACCGAGGAGCTGAGCGCCTATCGCGCCCTACTGGCTGGCAAGGCCGCAGTCCTGGCCCAGCAGCGGAGCCTAGACGAGCGGGTCCGGCTCCTTCAGGACCAACTGGACGCCGTCAGGAGCGACCTTGGCTGTTGTCCTCTGACTCCCAGTCTGGCCTGGCCTCCAGAGACCCATCTTCCAGATAAACCGCCCTTCCTTCCGCCCCTCCTCTAATTACAGGTGGTGGCGTGGGGGCGAGGGGCACCGCCTCTGCCCCTTATCCACATCACTCGGGATGGGGTGACGCTGGTTGATTCGGTGCTTTTCCCTTGCGGGGAGAGGGAAGACCTAGGTGGGGTCTTCCCAGGATCCTTCTAAGTGTTTTCTTGTAGCCTTACCCAAGTATTTTGGGTTATTTGTTAATTAATTTATGGATTTTTAAAACTGCAGTATCCCTCCCCTTTTTGTGAGGAGAGAGGCTCTGTCTGGGTTGGTGGGAGGGAGAGGAGACAAATCAGAGGAGCATTTCTACTTAATATGCAAAATTGTCTTTTTTCTTCTCTTTCTTAATAATAATTGATGTGAGAAGTGTGTGTGTCACCTGGAGTCTCGCTTGGGGGAGAAATCTTGTTTACAGACAAAGTACACCAGCCTTGCCTGACTAGAGCAGAAGAGGAATTTGCTGGAGGACCTCAGTCAGGTCTGGGAATCCCTGGGAAGACTGGGATACAGGCTTGAAACCTGGAGAGACCAAGGGGATGCCAGGCCTTGTGATTCTACTGCCACCAGTAATCCCTACAGTTCTGGTAACTCCATCACTACCACAAAGGCCTAGGCCTGACTGGTTGACCCCCAGGTCTCCTTTGCTGGTTTTCACCCAAGCCTCCACCCTCAAAAGTACAAGTGAGGGTAACAGCTTCCCTTCAGGACTCAAGGGATAGGGAATTTCCTCATATACATAATAGGTTCAGTTGCTTTGCTGCCTAAAAACCTTGATGAATTCAGGGATAATTATTCCAAGTCTCAGCAAGAAATATATTGTCAAAAGTGAGCTTATTAAGAGACCCCACAGGATCCACCATGCTTGAGGAGGACTGTTGGGCATGGGAGCTGAATGGAGGAGTCATGGTCTGGAGACCTTAGAATGGGGGGCTGAGGACCTGGAGAGACTGCTCTGCTTGTGTGCTAGAGGAGATAAGCTGGGGGTGAGCTGGGGTTGGGAGTGGGAAGTTAGGGGCTGGTGTGGAATGAAATGGAGGAGACACACACTCCCTTCTGTTTGGGCATCAGCCTCATGTGCACAGAGTCAATGTTAAGTTCTCAAATATACATGTGAATGTGCTTTAGTATTTGCAGCTGCACACACCAGGGCCAAGAACATTGTTGATGCAAACGCTGAGTGTATTTTTGGAAGTTGGGCACATTTAAAGTCATGTGTATGTGTATTTAAAGCCAACTGACCCCAAAGTGAGAAATCTCTGCTTCTGGGCTTGTTTTCTGATGCCTATTGTCACTAAGTGCAACTGGCTGGGAATTTTAAATGGTCGTATTCATACCAAAAGCATTAGTTTTAACAGTCGGGCCATTGAGCGCAGAACAATGCTAACATTGTGCCTCTTTATGAAAAACATATGGGGCTCCTGCTGAGGCAGTTGCGGGTTCTAACATTATGCTTTGCTTCTCTCCTTTGAACGCTGTGGGCGGGGCCTCCACTCCAAAGTCCTCATCCTAGCAGGGCAGCTGGCTTACAGTCTGGATGAAATAAATTTATTTCTGCCTTTTGCCCTGTACAGCACTCCCTGCATTCTCCCATTGTGCTATTCTTAGAAAAACACTTAACATTCACTAGTTAGGCCAATGGAAATTGTGTGCTGCTCAGACAAAGCACTTCCAGCCCAAGATGGACTTGAGGATCAGTGCCTGCTGTGGTCCCGTTGTGGTCCCAAAGTGCACTTTGGTTCTGTGCTGGGTTTTCCCATGGGGAATTATGAGGCTCTTATGCTTGTCCTTACCAGATGGGGAGTAGGGTCACACCTCCTGCACCCATCTTTTCATCTTGCCTGTGTGTTCTTCCTGCCCCATTTTATGTCCCTTTCACACTGTTTTTCTGTCAGAGTGCAAGAATGAGCACCATAGGTGTTCAGTATTGGCATCACACTTTTTTTTGAAAAAGATTTATTTGATAAAGATCATCAAAAGAGACCATAGGGAAGGACAGAGGGAACAGAAGCAACAGACTCCCCCCTGAGTGGGGAGCCTCACAAGGGGCTGGGTCCCAGGATCCTGAGATCATGACCTGAGCCGATGGGAGACCTTAACCCTCTGAGCCACCTAGGTGCCCCCAAACTAAGAATTTTTTTTTTCTAAGATTTTATTTATTTTTCAGACAGAGATCACAAGTAGGCAGAGAGGCAGGAGGAAGCAGACTCCCTGCGGAGTAGAGAGGCCCGATGCGGGGCTCTATCCTAGGATCCTGAGATCATGATCTGAGCCAAAGGCAGAGGCTTTAGCCCACTGAGCCACCCAGGTGCGCCTCCAGACTAAGACTTTTGATGGTGGTGTGTGGGCCGGTGCTTGAGGCCCAGTGAATTCCACCGCCAGGACGCTACCAGCAGAGGGCACTGTTCGCCCTGTGATGACGGCTGCCTACACCACCGTAGCCTCCTCCCCAGGCAGTAGGCCCTCTGAGCTAAGCACAGGGGCTTGGCCTTCCTCGCAGAGCAGTACTTGTTAAGCCTGAAGGCTGGATCTGAGCCTTTTTGCTTCTGTCGGGAAGAAATTCTGGCCGGCCAGCCACGGGAAAGCTGGCTTGCTTTTCTTTTGCTACCAGGCGTTGATTGAAATGTTGGTTAATGAGAAGTGGGGAGGAGGGAAACCCGGGGTGTTGATCTGGAGTATCAGTATCAAAAAGAGCCTTATTTAATATCCCAGGGTAGAAAAGAGGGTTTCGTGGGTCTCTTTTGGGGTTTCTGCCCCCACCTTCTCAAGCCGCCAGCTCCCTTGCAGGTCGGTTCTGCCCCCAGCCCCGCAGCCTGCCGCGCGGTCCTTGGCTTTTTGCAGAGAGCAGATTTCGGCTGGCGTTGTTGCTAGGCAACAGAAGGCCCCGCAGCCGCCTCCCCCGCTCGCCTCATCCCGCCCCCGCCGCTCCTCCTATTATGGATTTAATTAGTGTACTTTTTACCTTCAGACTGTAGATTGCAAGCCGAACAGGGAAGCGGTGTTCCGCGGCGCCCCAAAGCCGCGTGCATTCTGTCTGGAACAGCCTGCTCGGCACACCGCGTACCTCCGCTAGTGGACGCTGTAGACCTCAGGGATCCTCACAGAACAGATCGTGGTGCTGTTCATTCACATGTAAATCAGAAGCTTGGGTGGAAATTTAGGTCAAATGTGCTTGAGCACCGCAGAGAGAAGAGGCGAAAGAGCAACGTGGGGGCAGGAGGAGGAGGTGGGGCAGCTGCTATAAAGCAATCTTCTCCAAGACCCCGAAGTGTTACGTTACGGTCACAGCCTAGCTACCGGTTAGACCCGCAGGGTAGGTGTTTACCTGTTGTTGAAACTTAAATCAGCACCACCTTACCCCTAGGAAGACACCCCCCCCCCCCCACCTAGGAGATGTCTAGACATATCCCCACCCCCACTCCCACCACACCCTCGCGCCTTGTTTCTCTGACTCTTCCTTTTTCCCACTTCCCTGCAGAAACACCTGAAGCCTCCGGTGCTTCACAAGTTCAAGTTCAGAGTTGTGGCTGTGCTGGAAGGGTTAGGCCAGGGCGAAAGGTTCAAGGCAAAAAGCTATCTGGAGAGCAATAAAAAGTCTGTTTATCAAACTATTTTAAAAGGCCAAATAATTTCTAACAGGAAAGGGTCAAAAAAGTCGGAGAATATGGGTTCTGAGTGAGCCCAGCTTTAGAACTGTGTTGAGGAGTGCTTTCAGTCCAGCTGGCTGGATGACATTAGGTCTGGAAGACAGGGCTAAGGATGGTAAGGGAGTGTGCATTAAGAAAGACATCGTGGTGTCTATTTTTAACATTCTGTATGATATCATACAGAATGTGAGATAATCTCCCTTTGGTGGGAATACATTTTTCCCAGCAGAGTCCATTGTTACTTATTTACACATACTAACATAGTTAAAAAATGGTGATCTGGTAAAGCAAAGCCACAAATGAGAGCTATTTGGTTTTGGAATGTAGCCAGATACCCTGTGGGACCAACTGGGCACCCCTGGTAATCTTTCAAAATGGTGTTGCAGTTCCCAAGGAGCTCTACCTACTCCTTCCCTAGGGTCTACCCTCCTCGAAGCCTGTGGGATAGATACTGCCAGTCTTACAGCCCCAAGAAGGGGGGAGATAGTGCTTGGAGAACTGGGTGACTTGTTTAAGGTCTCTAGATGAGTAAGGGTTGAGATGAGACCACTTGCTTTTCTGCAGCAGGACACTGATGGAAAAGAGCACCAGGAGGCCATCCCGCAGCTCTGACAGTTATAGCTGTGAAGCTGGGACAAGCTATTTACAGTTTCTTGAGGATTCAATTTCCTCACCTTAAATTCAAGAGATACTAACAGAACTTACCTTGTAATGTTGAGGTTAATACCTGCACAGGGGTTAAAACCATGCCTGGTACTTAATAAACACAGGCTGTATGTGCATCACGCATATCCTGGTCTCCATTAGGTAAGTGAGACACGTTCTAGAACAACTTCCAACCTCCTTTAAAGGAAGTATAAACCTTTATTTAAAAGCTTGCACTGGGCGACTCATACATATCTATATAACAATTAACTTCTCCCCCATTAAAAGGAGTGATTCTCCTCCCCATGACAATTCCAGCCGGCTAAATTGCCATAACTTATAAGCAACTTTTTTTTTTTTTTTTTTGTCACTTGTTGAAAATACCCCTCATAGGTGTACCTCGTGCTGGGCAATATATGGTTCTTGAAAACTTTCCATATGCATATCAAAGTATAATTCCCTACTGACTTATAGTTTCAGAAAGTCTTGATCTGCAAGGAATAAACAGTGGTTTCTAACACTTTTTGTTTTAGGCTTATTGATCCTAAATTCTTGCCAAATGTTTTATTTCACTTGGAAGCCTTGCAGCATGCCTTTCTGAAACACAAAGATTCTTCTGGGAGTTTAAGTAACCCTCCTCTGATTTAAGGGTGTAATAGACATTAGTTATTATTATTACTACTTTGGTGGTTTAGATTTTGTCTTTCTCAAGGCAGGTCATACCTGTGTTTGTGATCTTTGTTATCCTGTCTCAGTCAAGCCTCTCTTTTACCATGGAAAATCTCTAATATTTTATTCTGTCCTCTAGACCTTCAGCAACTGAGATTGCTATAATTATTGCCTCCCACAATTTTTCTGCAGAGACAGATTTAATTTGCATTTAAAAATAATTTATGCCGCTTAGCTAGAGTTCCAGGCAAGGAAGGTGGGAAGGTCAGATCAGGGCCTGCATTCATTTGTTTGTTTGTTTGTTTGTTTTTAATATCCATGTGTGGATGCAACCTGCATTTAGCTGATCAATCCAAACTCTTTCAATAATAGAATGCCTGGAAGGGGCAGAAGAAGATGAGGAGAAACTGAAGAAGTAAGTAGACAAAAAGACAAGAAAAATACGGTAGCAGGAGCTGGAGAAAGTTTAAGGGAAGTACATTATCACACAAGCAGGAACAAAATGGGAAACTTATTTATTTCATTGCTTAAATCAAAACATTCCATTAAGGACGGCCTTAAATTATGCCAGAGACCTCACTGATAAATATATATGGAGGGGAAAAGCCACACTCCCTTGTGCCACAAAAACTATTTGTTATAGCTAATGACATGCAAACATAATTTGCAAAAGCAGAGCATTACCACAGTATGATATTTTAAAAAGGCTGGTTGAGTAAATAGAGTCCCCATCTTTAAAATAGAAAAAGAGACATTATAGTTACAGTGTGTTGAACCTGGGACCTCCTGGTAAATAGCTACAAACCTTCTCAATTACAGACAAGAATAAAGGTCTAGAGAAGTTAAGCCATCCCTCTAAGGTCACTGAGCAAAGAATTCTGCATTTACTATTTTGGAATAAGTTGTTTGCTTTCAGATGGCTTTTAAAGGTGGATATAACATAGTTTTTGCTTCTATAGAATTTTCATATAAAATGGTTGCTGTTTAAGTATCCCTACTTAACCAGTTATTTTTCTGGTGTAATGCTATGACATATTTTTCTTTGAATATCCACCTACTGCATTGAAAGGCTCAGCCAGAATGGAAAACCAGATTCAGACACATGGCACAATGGTGCATTCACAGATAAATCACACTTAAAATATTAAATGTTCATGCCAAATCAAAATAACCACCCACCAGTGCCGAAGAGGCTGTTTATATTTCATCATAAAGACAACCAGAAATTGAAAGTATTTGCCAAAATGTCTCTTTTCTCTCACTGTTAAGTCATTCTCACTCCCAAGATGCTCGTTTTCTAATATTGAGCATTCACAGTACAACTGAAATTAATTACATTCACAATGGTCACATTCTGTGTTCAAGTCTCTCTAGAATCTTGAGCGTCTAAAATGAGGTAGATAAATGTTTAAGGGTTTTGTTGTTGGGACTAATTTCCTTTAGATCCTGATCATCTTTTTTTTTTTTTTTTTTAGGTAGAATTCCAAAATACTTAGCAAAAGATTGAAAATGAGCATTTTGCCTAAAAATTGAAAAATATAATTTCAAAAGGTTATTATGAAAGTTGTTTTACCTCATTTTAACTTAAAAACAGGATAAAAGCATCAAATTACAAAACCACTAGTATCTTAAAGCTGACAATCCAGCAGCACACTACATTTAAAGAGGCCCTTGCTCTAGTTCTGGTTTGGGAGCGTGTAGATGGCGGAGGTATTGGGTTAACTCATTCAGGGCACTTAACTCTGATCCTAAAATCTGAGCCTCCAATGTTCAAGCCTGATGTCTGGAGTTCTTTATAGAAGGTTCTCACTGAGATCTTGACTACCATTTCAGAGACAGGTCAAGCTTCAGGGAGAAGCTAGAGGTGTTCGCCCACGGGGGTAAAATAGGCTTCAGTGGACAAAGCTGGAAACAGGATGGAGCCACAGGTGCTGAGCCGCTGTTTTGGCCAGGCTTAGACTGCGAGGGGCAGGCCGGGTTACATCAACCAAGCTGAGCTTCACGGACCCTCAGGTTGTGGGGGGTAGGCCGGGCACTAGACCAGCCAAGGGTCCTGGAGTAGATCGACGAGAGATTTCTGAAAAAGCCGGCAGGCTACTGCGGGCCTTAGTCTTTTTACGTGGAGCCATGGGCGAGGCACCCAAGAACTTGCTAAAGGAGCCCGACTTCCTCATGCCTCGAGCCAGGTCTTGGAGCATCAGATCATCGGCGAGGACACCCAGAAACGCGCTGGTGGTGGAACTGAGGATGGTGGCGGCCACTTGCACTGGGCGCCGGGTCGCAAAAGTGCCACCACCAGCACCGGTGACGTCTGCCTCGGTAGAGCCTCTAAGGCAGGGGTCGCCGAGGAGGCGGCGAAGCGCGTACGAGGCACCGGGCGGCAGGTACTGGTAGGCTCGCCGTCCGCTGTGGTCACGCACGTGCACCTGCGCACCCAGGCGCACCACCAGCGTCACGGCGGCGTCCTCGTGGCCATGCAGAGCCGCCAGGTGCAGCGGCGTGTAGCCGCCATGCGAGCGCGCGTTCACGTCCACCGGCGCGCCCCCGCGTCGCGCGACCTCCACCAGCTGCAGCGCCATCTCGCGGTCGCCGCTCTTGGCGGCCCAATGCAGGGCCGTGAAGCCAGATATGAAGTCGCGCTTGGCCGCCAGGCCGCTGTCGCGCAGCAGCAGCCCGTGCAGCTGGTGGGTCCAGCAGCCCCCAGACGCCCGCACTAGCCACTCGTGCTCGGTCGGCTCCAGGGGCACAGCAGACGGTGGCGGCGCGGCGGGCGCTTCGTCCGCGTCCGGACTCAGCAGGCGCGGGCCTGCGCGCGACAGGCGCCTCAGGTGCGGGGAGCGGCCCGGGCCCAGGCTGAGGCCCAGGCCAGACTCTTCCACTGACAGCCGCCGCAGCAGCAGCGGGGAGCTCCGCGGGCTCGGCTCTTCCGACAGCTGCCGGCGCAGGCCCTGCTCCTCGGCCCGGATCCGGAGCGCGGCGGGGCCTGGGACGCAGCGCACAGGCAGCATGCAGGGCTTCGGAGGCGGCTGCGCGTGCCGACCAGGTGCTGGCGCTTCTTTCGTCGCCCCACGCCCAGGTTCCGGGACCCGTGCCTCTGCGTGGGGCAAGGCCTCCACCGACCGCGACCTAGACGGCGGGACCACGTCTGTAGGGAGTCCCTTGGGGGGCAGGGCCAGCTCAAAGCCTGAAATCTGGGCGTCTGAGGGCGCCCCTGACTGCTGAGCCGGACCTAACAACACCTCCCCGGCCGGCTGAGTGGGCTCTGAGGCCGGAGCCCCCGGCGTGTCCTGTGGCTCTACCGGCGGGGCCAGGTCCTCAGGTGGTTCCACCGCCTGCTGCGCCGCGGCCGGGGATGGAGCCCCCGGGTCGGCCGGTTCCCCCTGTGAGACCGAAGTGATCTTCGAAGGCAGGGCTGGTGCCCCGAACGTGCCGGAGACGCACGAGGGCAGGGGCTCCGGGGCCCCTCCGGGCCGCAGCTTCTTCTTCAGCACTACGAACTTGACGCCGTCGAGCTCCTTCACCACAGCCACGTCGTTGACAAATTGCTTGAAGCGGTCCCTGCGGGCGGCGCGGCCGCGGGGGTCGCCCGCATCCAGCAGGGGCTTGAAGCGGCTCAGCAGATCGGAGTTGCGCACCTTGCCTCCATGCTCCAGCAGGAAGCCCAGCACAGCCGCCTGGCTCACCCCGGCGGCGGCGGCCGCGGCCGCGGCGGCTAGCGCCATGGTGCAGTCCAGCCCCGCAGGGGAGCAGAGGCCGCCCCTTCCCACGCGCCCTCGGTACCCGGCTGCCGGGGCAGGTGCACGTCTCCGCGCCGGCTGGGACGAGCGGGAGCAGGGGTTCCGGGAGCGAGGTCTTCCTTTGCCAGGCTCACCTGATCGTTTCACCGAGGCGGGACGGGAGTGTCCCTGAAGCTGGACCTTGGTCACGCCCGCGTCGTGGGGCCCGGGTGTCTCCCGGAGGAAGGCGCGGGGGGCCGCATTGCGAGCCCACCGCCTCCGGCTCGCCGGGCCCCCAGCCTTCGAGGTAGGTTTCTGCCTTTGTATTGTGTCCAATAGGCGCCAGGTTCCATCCCCCGTGCTCGTCGCTCGCCTTACAGGTGACAGCTGCCACCGGGGCCGTGGAGGGAGTGGAGGAGCGGAAATTATCCGCCGCCCTCCTCCCCTACCCGGAGTTAAAGGCGCAGTGCCATACTTCAGCTGACTCCCGGTTGCTAGGTGGGTGTGTTCTCCAGGCATGCCGCGGTCTACCGGGAGAGGCAGAAATTTTTATTTCTCTAAGGAATAGTTCACCACCACAAAATATTGGGAGATGATTTAAGAGCAGTAGTTTATTTAAAGACCATCAATACCTTTCCCCTTGTGGATTGCGTTACACAAGGAAGAGGGCTTCTTGTATTTGCAGCAATGACAACTCGCTGCGCATGGCAAGGTAAGTTACCCGAGATTTAGAAGAAATGTTTTAAAAGCAATTATGTCATGGTAAAATAGTACATTTTTACATGAAAAGTTGAAAATAGAACCACAAGGAACAAGGAGATATATCACTTGGAGTCACCATTAACATTTTGAAATATTTTCTTCTCCCCCATATACATGTGTATACTTGTTTTTGTCTTAAAATGAGAAAGCGAAAATCATGCTGTATTTTATTTTATTTATTTATTTGACACACAGAGATCACAAGTAGGCAGAGAGGCAGGCAGAGAGAGAGAGGAGGAAGCAGGCTCCCTGCTGAGCAGAGAGACCGATGCGGGCCCCAATCCGAGGACCCTGAGACTATGACCTGAGCTGAAGGCAGAGGCCCAACCCTCTGAGCCACCCAGGCGCCCCTCATGGTGTATTTTATTTTATTTTATTTTATTTTAAAAATATTTATTTATTTGTCAGATAGAGAGGGAGAGAGAGCGAGCACAGGCAGACAGAGTGGCAGGCAGAGGCAGAGGCAGAGGCAGAGGCAGAGGGAGAAGCAGGCTCCCCACCGAGCAAGGAGCCAGATGTGGGACTCGGTCCCAGGACGCCGGGATCATGACCTGAGCCTAAGGCAGCTGCTCAACCAACTGAGCCACCCAGGTGTCCCCTTCATGGTGTATTTTAAAAGCTTTATTTAATCCATAAATATTTGTTGAACACCTGGTTTGTGCCAGTACCTTTCCAGGCTGTAATATCCCAGTTAGCAAGACAGATAAAAACTCCTAACCTAGTGGAGATCACATGGCTGGGGGGAGGGGGACAGAAATAATATGGTGAATCTGAAAATTGTATAATATGCTAGATCAATACTTGGAGAAAATAAAGCAGAGTAAAAAAGAGGAGGGGCAGATTGCAATTTTGCACCCTGTTTTCAGTGTTCGACTCATTTGTAGGTCCTAATTATACAAGGATTTAAAGAGATCAAGTACTTAATGCAGCTAGGTAGGAGAAGAAGCTTTTGGGGTGAGTAAACCACCAGGGCAAAAAAGTGGGATCAGGTTCTTTATTTACAAACACCATACTACAAGGGGTACCATTTCTTTGTAGCTAAAGAGAACAAGCCTGGAGTCAAAATTGCGCCTCTGAATCATAGCTCTACCTTGGACTACTTGATTGACCTCCCTGTTCCTCAGTTTTCTTAACTGTAAAGTGGGGATGATAATAGTGCTTACCTCATCGGGTTGTTGGGAGGATTAAATGAGAAAATAAACATAAGAGACTTAAAACGATGGTTGGCCCACAGTAAACATTCACATTATTATTGGTTGTATAGCAACTGCTATACCATTATTACTGACCCAAAGAAAAAGAACAGTAAAATGGGAAAGGCTATCCTTCTTTCCCCAATCCCATTTCCCAAGGCTGTCTTCAGTCCTGTTTCCAGAATGCATACAATTAAATCTTTTTTTTCCCACTTTGTATTATATTGTGAGCATTTTCCTCAATGACGATATCCTTTAAAAATATGTGATTTTTACTATAACATCAAATAAATGTAGTAGTATTACACTTGTTTTTTTACAGTTGGTAGTTTATAGTTTCCAGCTTTTAGTTCTTAGGAATGGTGGTGCTCATATATAAAACTTTGTGTACATTGTTGATTAATTCCTTGGGATAGAATCCTTCAAGTGTATTACTAGGTTCAAGGGATTTATTTTCAAAACTCTTGAAACTTATTTCTAAATTGTTTTCCAGAAAAGTTACAGCCCCATGAAAGTACTTTGTCTTTCCCCCAATGATATTGAGTAGCATCTTTTAATTTCTCAGTTTGGAAGGTGAAAAGTTGTAGCCCACGCTAGTTTCCATTTATTTTATTACTAATGATCTTAAACTTTCCTCTGATTATATATTGTCCATTTGAATTTGTTCTTTTATGAATTGCCTTTTCCCCCCTTTACCCATTAATAGTTTCTTGTTGATATGTAGTTATTAATCTTCTATTATATATGTTGTCAAGATTTTCCCAGTTTGCCATTTGCCTTTTAATTTTTTATTAACGACAACTAGTTTTTAATTGTAAATATTGTATCCTTGTAGCTTAAGAATGGTAGTGCAAAATAAGAAGGTACATCTCCCTTTTAAAGGAGAACTTTTAGGATCAATTTACTCTGTAATATTAAGCAGTCTACATTAGAATGCTAACAATGCCCTTGAGGAAGTCCTTGTATTTTTAACATACAATGGTAACTGGAATAAGCTATCGCTTCTATCTAAATATTACCTCTTCTTCAAACCCAGTTCAAATCCTACTCCTGTAAAGTCTTCTGCAGCTAACTGCCCCAGGGGCATCCTCCTCCTTGCATTGATCATCTATTTCAGCAAACACTTATTGATTATCTTTGGGTACAAAGCAGTGAGCCCGGTTCTCAGGGGACAAGGTGCAATGTGCCTTTGGAGAGCTCACTGCTTGGTGGAATAGAGAAAAACACAATTAATTATGTTACATATCCAGATGAAATCAATGCTCTGTGTGCTTACCAGTGGGTAGGTTCTAAAAGGCACTTGAGGAAGTCTTCAGGAGGCAGGCTGTACGCACAACACGGGCAAGGACTTGCCAAGTCGGGTGGGGAAGACTGAATCCAGGGTAAACAATCTAGTGTGTTTTCCGTTTAGGGTATGTGCCAGAGGTACATAAGATAATGTCGGGGAAGTAATCTGGGGTCATGGATAGAGGACCTTAAATTCTAGTTTGGACTTTATCCTGTTTGCTGTGTTCAGTTCAAGATATCAACTTGGCATCCTGGCGAAGCCAGTGCAGTCCCTGTTTGCTGTAGATTATCATGGAATGCTTGCTTCAATTCCTTCCTTCCTTCCTTCCTTCCTTCCTCTCTTCTTTCTTTCTTTCTTTCTTTCTTTCTTTCTTTCTTTCTTTCTTTTGTTCTCCAAAAATGGTGCATTTATTTTTTTAAAGTTTTTAATTCCTGTTAGTTAACATACAGTGTTGTATAAGTTTCAGGTATACAATGTAGTGATTCAACACTTCCATACATCACTCAGAGCTCATCAGGACTAGTGCGCTCCTTAATCCCCAGGGCCAGTTTCACTCCACCATCATCTCCCCTGTGGTAACCATCAGTTTGTTCTCTACATGCTTACTTGTTTTCTGATTATAAAATTAATCATTATGTTTTCCCAGTTTTCAATGATGTCCAAAATATAAAAGGAACAGATCACATGTTAGAGAACCATTCTTAATATTTGTTGGTTTTTTTCTGTGAAGCTGTCTACATACATCCCTAGATATAAACACAGCCACAGACACGTTCTCTGCCGATGGCATTAGACCACACATTTTCTCGTAACCCACGCTGCTTTACAGCCTGCTCAAACCCATGGGGATGTGGGGAAGGGATGGAGGAGCGCTACTAGGGGTGGTGGCAAGTCCCTGGCCGAGATGGTGCAGGACACCAAGCTAGGGCAGGAGGGCAGGAAGACAGGGATGGAGGCCAAAGCTGTTTCAGAAGCGGAGTTTGCATTCTACTGCCTGTTTTCATTTTTAGTCACATTCTCTCCGTTGTGATTTTCATTTCCATAGCTCCTTTTCATATGACAAATTGCTGGGTGCCTTGGAAAAATCATTCTATGATCTCATAGGAAGTGGAGCCTCCACCAAGTTGGCCTTTTGTTACTGCTCCCTCTTTCCAAGAGGGGGCGGAGAAGAACCCCCTGTTAAAGACCATAACTGATTTCTGTGGTTTGAACTCATTCTGTGATCACTAAGAGATGAGGGATTACATACTGATTGAAAAGGAGTTGCTGGCACTAGCAGGGTTTATTGACGGTGCTTAACAGACTTCAGGCTCTGAGCGATACAAAGCAACGTGCCCAGGGTCACAGTTTGTTATTGGCTGACCCCAATACTAATTTGTACTCATTTACCACTTCAAATTAGATCACCAATTACTTAAAAACAATGTTCTGAATGTTTAATAAGTAAAGGGGGAAATCCCACATAAAAATGTAACTTCAACCTTTACACTAGTACATCTGGACATACCCAGCTTTAATGTTTTAAGTGATTTGTTTATAATTTGGGCAAACATTAGGGTGAGGATGCCAATGACATCCAGTTCCCCAGGCTGCTTTTAAATTTTGGTGCCCTGCTGACAGGCCACTGAATCAATTCTTTCAGTGACCCAGTAATTTGCTCGTAAGTATTAGGAAAATGAAATATAAAATGTACATTTATAACAAGGGTCCAATTTTATAATGTGTCTTGAACATGGGAGAAAGCAATAGCAATTTGTTTTCTGTCTCAGTTTTCTCATTTCTTTTATCTCTCAAAAGTTTGTTTCTATCTCAGTTTCTCAAATTTGGAAGGTGAGGATAAAAGGCCCTTTGTATTTTTTAAAGCTACCTTTAAAAATATATGTAAAATTTAGGTGCCTGGGTGGCTCAGTAGGTTAAGCTGCTGCCTTCGGCTCAGGTCCTGATCTCAGGGTTCTGGGATCGAGCCCCACATTGGGCTCTCTGCTCAGCAGGGAGCCTACTTCCCTCCCTCTCTCTCTGCCTGCCTCTCTGCCTACTTGTGATCTCTCTCTGTCAAATAAATAAATAAAATCTTTAAAAATAAATAAATAAAAATATATGTAAAATTTAAAATCCCCCATGCCATGTGTTATATCACGTTGTGTTACATTGTTTCGTGATGTATTGCCTGTAACACACAGTATCCTTTGAGTCCTATGTCTGGGCTCCCCAGATACCCAGAATGGCTGTTTCATGTTTCTGACTGTCTTGTCCTGTCATGGATTCTGTCAGGCTTCATCCACCACAGCCTGGCTCCTCTGCCTCCTGGTGCCTCACCAAGGCATCATCCTCGGTAAAGAAGTATATCTGGGGCCCCAGTCCGTGGGAGCTCCAAAGATATGAGAGGGATGGGCTGTGTGCCTATAAAGGGACTTTGCC